GACAGGGCTAAATAACGTACTACGCATGGAAGGCCAACATTTCATGGTAAATCAGGAGTTAGTGTTTTTGACTATGCAATATGCGACCAAGACTCATTCCACTCTATCGCGAATTTCGTTGTTAAAGATCCGTAAAGTTTATCAGATCACAGTCCAATAATGACATGGCTAATCATTAATACGGTAAATAACCACTTAGCTACAGAAAATACTAATGATACATTAATTTGTTTACCCATACAGTTTATACGGAAAAATGATTCATAACAAAAATTTAAAACAGCACTGCAAACTAGAGACATACAGAGAATGACACATGATTTTCTTGTTGACAGTAGGCCAGGCAAACACATTTATTAACTCTTCACTCGATACAGTAGAAAGGATTCTTTTTACAACCGCAAAGCATTGCTTAAAAATTAAGAACATTAAAAAACGATATACTAGATTATCTTTTGTTTCGTCTAACAAAAAATGGTTTGATAAAGAATGTCGTCATAAGAGACACGAATTGAGGAAACTTGCTAATCTAAAACACAGAGATCCTCTCAATAATACGCTTATGGAAAAATATCACACTGTCTTAAAACAGTACAAAAACGTTCTGAAACAGAAGAGAGAATACCATCATACTAAGATTTCGGAACTGGAAAACATGGTAGATAATTCAAAGAGCCGAAATTTTGGTAACTGCTTAAAATCTATGGATGATTCTATGAAGGAAACTAGTACCCCGCCAATCTCAGAAGAAAGTTGGTTGTCTCACTTCCAGTCACTACACTCAAACGAGCCCCTTAATTCACACCAAGAAGCGATTATCAGTGAGTTAACAAGATTAGAAGACGCAACAACACAATCGCATGCCTTGGACTACCTAATAACTGAACTCAACATACGCACAGGGGCTAAAAAACTCAAAAACAACAAATCTTCCTATTCAGATGGAATAAAAAATGAAATGATCAAATCCAGCTTAAACTAACTAATGCCTATTGCTGGTTTCAGTGTCACGTCACCCAAAATAGACAAAATAAAAATCAAAACCATTCGACAGATAAAGTCCAGAATCTGGGAAATATACAAAGACCCTCGCCAAGATTTGGGTCGAAGGAATAATTCGCATACGAGGTATCCGAGGAAATGTTTTACCCAGATTTATAGAGCTTTGTATGGAGACGCCATGCTGGAGCTCATCGGGATGAGCTCCAACATGGCGGACAGAAACCAACAGAAACATCTGTTACGGAGTTTTGCTACAAAAGCGTGAATTTACTCCTAGAGGAACTCATGAACAGTAAAGTAATACTTTTTCTAACACTTGAACTGTTTAGATAGTAAAATTCCCCGAAAAAGTCACTTTTTTAACCTAATTACAGCTCTCTCGGCCGTCATGTAAATGTTGTGTCACGCAAAAGCTTAGAAATTCAAGCGTACTCTATTACAAAAACAAGAGCCCTTTGGAAGCGAAAATTTGTTCGAAAATTAACTTTCAGCTAGTCTAATACACCATGAAAGTAAAATCTCAGTACGATCGATAGTTTTGTAGTTTGAATTTTAGTGACGTCATGTGGAAACCAACAATTAACGCTGTTCTGACGTCAGGCATTATGCCTCAAACATGGTGCGATGGCCTTATAACACCAATTTTTAAAAGTGGGACTAAAAGTGATCCCTCAAATTATAGAGGAATTTGTATTTCTAGTTGTCTTGGTAAATTATTTTGCTCAATTCTCGGTCAAAGACTTCTCGAAACAAACTAGCCACGAATAACAGAAGACTCTTGATAGCAGCTGAATTTCATTTCTTGTGCGTCCAATATAATATCGATCAGTATCAATATCAGTTTTCCTGTGCTTCCAAACTAGCCAGGAAGTGTAACATTGAACATTGGATGCCCTGTGGTGCGGACGGATGGTCGCTTGCTCGCTTGGTGTACGGTCACGTGATTACCAAATTTTCTGGGATGGGTAGATTTACCTAGCTATGGGGCTCGCCTCGAGCGCGCTTCGCGCGTTGAGCTCTGCTGTAATTAGTTATCTGTAATAACACCAGAGACTATTTCTTATGGGAGCCCGAGAAATTCTGAGAATTTCATGTGTAAGGTGTCATTTTTGTGAAATTTGACGTTTCTTTTCTCGGGCTCTCATTTTCTTTGGTGTTGTTCAGACAGATAGCTAATTACAACTATAGCTCTTGAAAAATGTATGTAATAAAGAATGCAATATTGTTTAAATTATTCTGGTACAAGGTTTTTGTCCACTAAAAATTAAAATTACTCAATTTCCTGATGGATTCCGTCGTAAAGTGTTTGCATGAGAATCTAATGTCAAAAACTTTCCGTAAAACGGCTGTTCTGAACAAAAATAATTGTAAACTAAAGAGCTACACAGCAAAGGATTCTACTAACAATTTCCTGGGTGCCGCACCTGTGATTAAATTTCTTCAGACGCTTACCTTAGATTTTCCACATATTTGTTTGCAATTTTCCCGGAAAATTTAAGTTGGCCGGAAGAAAAATTTTTTCAAGCAAAGGTATGGAAAACTTTAAAAAGTGGTTCTAGCGCATGTAGCCGCATGTAACGCCCTCAATTTGTTTTCAGTAGAATACTTAGGGTCGAGGCTTTATATTTTAGCTCACAATATTTAGAACAGCAGTTTTACGGAAATTATTCGACATTAGATTCTCATACAAACTCTGTAATTTCTCTAGCGGTTGCCTGCTCGTTAAGATGGTTTCCAAAACCGTGACAAGGTCTATTGTAGCTACAGATATCCAGTAGGGAGAAAAAGATTGGGTTCCTATGCAATAGTGGTTTTGGTTCATTTATATCCCGTCCCGAGCGGAGAGGCTGCAGAAATGGTATGTGAAAGGGTCCTTTGCAAACCCGCAAAAGCCTGCACAAATAAGGTGAAAATGATAAAGCTCGAGTGCTTAAGAAATCAGTGCATATCATAGTAAGAGCAGATATGAAACAGATGAGGCAGTGGAAAAGGTGCACTTTTATATATAGTGCAGAGTGAATATGATTTAATTGATTGAGTCCCCTTATTCTTATATCTTTTTTATACTAGGAAAACCGCCCGATTATCAGTAAGAAAACAGGCAGGAACGCCAGGGAGTACCTGGAGAAATTAAGAGACATCCTCATTGCCACTAAACATAAAACAAGGGGAACGTACAAAGAGTGAAAATGGAAGCTATGCAAGCCAAATTATATCCCAAGAAAAATTACTCTTCTTTTCACTCTGTTATAATAATTATGTTTTAACTGAAACCATCCTTTCAGATATTCCTTCTACAAATAGGATCTTGAATAAGAATGGGAAGAGGTAATCTTTGCATCCTCTTCATTTTCCACTAGGTCATTTTTATTTGTACAATTAATGAATCATCACTATTACAAGTTTCATGCAGATCGAGTGCATTGAAGCAAAGCTCATCTACTAATTTCATATGTTCATGTTAGGGACAACGTAAGTTAGTTTTCCTGTCACCTCATGCATTGAGCAATATGTCATAATACGCAAGTATGATTTTTCTTAGGGGGATAAATTGTGTATAGTTTCTTTGTGAGGCTAGTAAGTATGATTTTGTACCTTGCATTTACATTGCAATTCTAGTAATTTGGACACTTCTTAAGACATGTACAAATTCAGTGATAAAATGTCAAATGGCAATGGCTTACAAGGGCTCACTTGTCGCGCTACCTCTTTGTTTAACTTATTGGGTCTAAGAGCATGTTAAATTTACAATTTGCCCAGTCACCTTGTAATCACAATCAAGAATGTCATATGTACATCTGTCTTTTGGCTAACATGCACTGAGTATATACCAGACCCTTATTCTGCCCGCATGTGATTTACGAACACTAGTTTTAACATACATAACGCCATAAAGTTCCCTACAATCACGACCTTTCACGTACGTTACCCTTTTCCCGGCGGGAATAATCCAGTTAAACCCTTCTGTACTGCCCTTGCTCTTTTGTTCCAGCATACTTGGTTGCGTTCGGTACTTACACAATCACATCTGTGTTCTTGTCAATGATGATCCCCTACTTTACAGGTAGAATTTAACAGAGGATTCTTTGCTGTAGAAAATTTATAATCAATCTTCTTCATCCTTTTCTTACTAAGTTTAGGCAGATTCTTCTATTTTTCGAAAAAGAATGCTTTAGTTCGCGTTTTTACTCTGACTATCCGCCATTTTGAAGCTGGACTTTTTAAATAGTCCGGGAAAATCCGGTAGAGCCAGTTCCCGCGCTGTATGAAATTAGGCAATTACCATTAATCAATCCTTATGAAGAGTAATATTAATCTTGATTTTGTATTATGCATTGACGTAAAATTCAAAGAGAATATTTTCTGCTAACCTTCAACAATAACGTCCACAGATATATCGCTTTCCAACTATTTCGTTTCTTCTTTAGATTAAACAAGTTTTGTTTCAGATCTGGACTTCCTGGTACTTCACTGTATCCACCAAAATTTTAATAATTCTTTAATTGGGATTTGCCGAAATGAATTGCTTATAATTATACTGGGAGAACTAACCCATGCACATAAGTCTTTCTTAAAATTTCTTCGAGTTACATCACTTTCAGCCGTTGTACAGTAGAGGGATATCATCATATACACCTAGCACTCGCACGATTGGTTACTGCTTCTCAGATATCATTTAATAGTCTATCGTGGTAAAACATAAAACGAAAAATGCAAAAAAATGTAGGCTTCATATTCAAAATTTGACTAGACAGCTAATTATAAAAACATAACGGGCGTATATTTTGCAAATCAGACAAAGACAAATGTTTGAAAATATTATATTAAAGATCAGTTTAATAAGGTGGTACAAGTTTTGTACTATACAGGCCTCCATATTAAATTGATGAATTAAAATGTAATTTTTTTTTTTATAAACTCCCTGTTTTATAAACAAATTACTATCCTGGCTTAATCAGAGTAATACTAATTGACTGTTAAGTTTGAAGCCAAAGTTTTTACGTCGTTTCGTAAAATGTTTCTACTTCGTCTGGTGTAAATTTATAATTGCTTCCTCCTGCCAGAAATGTCTGGGTGAAGGTGTCTCCATAGCTGTACCCACTTGGTGCGCTGTAATCATGGCCAGGGTTGGTATGGGATCTGCTACTAGATGACGCGTAGTCGGCAATGTAAATGTCATAGCCTCCACCGAAAGTAGGTCCATCAGACGAGCAGTCATATATGGAACTTACGTATAAATGACGATACTGCCCTGTCTGAGGCAGTTTCACAGGCGCCCATCCTGGTTTGTTAACCAGCGAGAAAAGAAATGCTTGTGAATCATATCGAAACTGGCAACTGCTGTAACCTGTTGGGAAAATAAGAAAGGAAAGGGATAATCAATGCACAGACTTCCTTCAAAAATTCGAAATCATACAAACAAGAAAAGATACTGATACTCTAGTAATAATTAAGTCTTTTTTAAGTAGCAAAGATATCAGTCTCGTGAAAAGTCTGTTTTTAATACTAAGTTTACTCTTACTCAAGTATTTACTTTTGAAGGAAGAAACGGGTACTTAACTGAAAATCTAAACGCCGAAAATAATTTAAAGAGCGATAAATTGCAGATTAATATTCAGTTGTCGGCACCCCGATGTAACGGCTTGAATTGTTCAATTGTTGTTTACTACAGCCCAGTGGAACCTCGATATAACGAACCGCTATATGACGATGCATGTAACTAGCGATTTTCTTTACTCGGCAGTCATTGTAACATATATGGAAAAGACTCTGGATAAAACGAATTTCAAACCTCGTTATACAGCGAACAAATTCTGCCGGTCTACTGGCAAATTAACTTCCGAGCTTCCCCCAGCCGCCTTGGTCGTAGTCCAGCTGGCTTAAAAACGCTAAGGTACGGTTTTGTTTTTTTGGCGACAAAGTACATGCAATAATTTTGCAAGGGAAACTTGAATGGGTCAAAAAAGAGATAAACACTGTCTTGTAAAAATTGACACTTCTAGAAAAGCCCCCGTTTTGTATGTTGTTGGTTAATTGTATCCTCGGTTTTTGTCTAGCTTTCTTAAATACACCTATTCATATCCGACGATTTTCACTCACAAGCCAAAATCATTATCATCATAATCAACATCATCATCATCATTTCCTTTATTTAAACACTTAAGACTTAAAGCTCAATTCTTGTGGGGCCATGTAAAAACGATTATGATGAAGAACTAAAATGAAAAATAAAAATAGAATTTATAACTTACAATTTACAACTACAATAAAAACTCTCAAAAGAAAACGATAAGATTCTAAAAAAAGATACAAAATGTATTTAGAAGAATTGAAATGAATTTACATTAATCACCTATAAATAATTGGCTACAGCCAAGAGAGAATGAGTATTCTCTCTTGCTACAGCATTTAAAACATAAAATAGTTAAGAAAAAAGGACATTTAAAATCGTGGTTGTGCCTGCATGTGCATCGACTGGACTGACTGTGCGCTAATTAACAATAAAATTAAGTGTGCGTTATAAAATAGGTGAGATAGAAACAGGAAACGTAAGATTCCATGCTATTATTCAGGTTCAGCTTTGATCAAGATACTCTCTCAGTTTATCCTTTTTTTTTTGTTAACCATAACAAAAAAAGACTTGATTAGAAGTGGTAATTTTACCCCATCCAACACGCACTTTTTACATAGAGTTTTCATTTTAGTTTCAAGAACAGGTAAGGGTGATCATTTCACAATTTACCCAACGATTCCATGCGGCCCCTGTTTTTAAATAATTGAGAGTTTTTTTCTGCTATACTGTCTGAGAACAAATTTCAACTGTAAGTACTTTCCTATAAATATGCATGAACTTCTAAGATGCCTCCTCGGGATTTCGTCTTCTAGGCGGGGCAATTAAGTACTTTACAGCCCCATAAATAATCAGAAAATTGGGTTAAAAATAGGCAAGTCTGCGTAAAAACAAAAAAAACAAAACAAAAAACGTTGAGCTCAGGAATTCTCCCCCTTCCCCCAATTAACATTTGTGATGGTCCGTCCTGGATTAATAGGGCGAGGACTTTATACGTCAGCGAACGGCATCGAGAACAGTAAAAAAGCTATAGGTTCAGTTTTGAAAAATGAGAAAGAGAGAGCACGTTTTGTTTGTTTGTTTGTTTGTTTGGTGTCGCTGCACGGATACGACGTTAAACGTCCTAATTTTAGTTTTATGGGGTACGTGACGTGAACACAAGACAACGATTTTTTTTTTTTCTTTTTCTAATATTTGGTATAGTCTTTTCGAATTTAATCGCATAATAATTTACCTTCATTTGGCGAATTGATCTAAATGAAAAAAGGTCGATAAAAATAAAGTTTAAAACAGCGTGAATGCACTTTTTGAGTGATATTTGGGCTGCCGTCCTCTTCGTGGTATAGGAACGGGACGGCAGGAAGAAGGGGATGCAAAACGCTCGTGTGTGACAAACGTACCAGGGCTAATATTTTAATTTACACATTTTGTTGCGATCTTCACTTAACATTAAATTTTTCTGGTCTTTTACAAAACGATCTGTTTAAAGAAAGGTGAAGCTTGGAGAAAATTTATTTCAAACAAAATTATTCTCACGCTTGTCACACAAGGCTTGCGGTCTTCTTCCCTCTCCAGTCCTGTTGCGTAAGTTCACAAATGACTTTTTCCACTTCAAATAATTCCTTAGATAATTTTACATGCTGATATGCCCAGTTTTGGAAAAAAACAAACCACTTACCCCATGAGAGGCTGGTGTAGCCTCCAAATATGTATTTCCCGCCGACTCTTATGATTGTTACCGTTGGTCCTTTATTGTCACAACGGCTATGAAAAGTACTGGCAGCCCAGCCGTCCAAGGACGCACGCCAACAACACTTCCATCGTAAAGATTTGCCCTGAGCAACTGGTTTGAGCCAGTTCCTTAAATACTTTAAGTAGTTTTCATTATTTCCCAAAATTTTGGAGTGTTTCAGTTCCCCTAGAAAAAAAAACAGCAACAAAAAACAAGAAGTCAAATTAGTGTTTCCTTCATGAGAGGACGCATAGGGTTTTTACTGGAAGCACAGCACTATGCAAAGTTATAAGCTTTGTGGGCACATAATCCCATTTAATATTTCACACTCCTCGAAAGTGCTAACATTTCTGTGTCATGGCGAGACTTTTCAATGTATTAAATGTCAGTATACATTGCAAGATAATCTTCATTTCGCGCCAGAATAATTCTGTTTGCGCGCTTTTAAAGTACATAAAATCAATCGGTTCCCCACAACGCCTGCTTTGTTACTGGAGTACATTGCCTTGGCGTGGATCTAGCATTTCACCTCCTCGTCGCTTCTTTTTCTCGGGAATTGTTTATATTTGGACGTAGTGAGAATAGATCAGAATGTGAAGTGGATGTTCACACTCGGCTACAACTAATACATGTGGCCTAATATCAAGGAAGGATGCTGGATTTTTCTCATTGTTAGCGAAAGGAAGGTAAAAAAAACGATAGCTCTGAGGTAAGAATTGAAATTTTTAATTAGTTTCTCGGCGAAAACAACCGTTCCACAGTAAAGAAATGTAGTATCGCTGCGACTTTATTATGATATGACGCTAGCTTGTGCATAGTAATTGTATGACTCCATAAATTCGATTCGCTTTTTCGCAGATCCGGTAACATTCGATAAAGGTTTCTTCGCTTTGTTAAGTGTGATATATTTTTATGGACATTGCCTTGTTCAGTGGTTCATTTGCTTGGCCTCGACGATTCCCAAGAATTCTGAGCTGCCAGACATAACAAATGCTCTACAGGAGTACCCGACGGAGCCGCTCGACAAAATACCCGCTCGTCAGGCAGAATTTGAGCTAGCTGGAAAAAAAAAACATTGGCTAGTTAGCTGGCTGGGAAATCTGAATGAGCACCTTGCTAGCTGAAAATATGAAAAATTTATGCAGGTTCTGGCTGGATAAAAAGGTATATTTTTTCTCCTGGCAATCGCACTGTAATTTTTTATATGGATATTAGAGCGGGCGAAGCAAGTAAGTGCGTGTGGAAATCACCCCACGCGAGCTGTGGAAATGACACCTTTTGCCTGTGAAAACGGAAATTTGTTTGGGTGTGTAATAAGCAAAACGTCCTGCTGTGAATACCTTGTAAAAGATACACGTAGTGAGAAAATGACACAGTTGAGTCAAGCACCGCTCACCGCTTTGTTTGTAGTCGTTTCGCTGTCGATCCTTTATAGAAAACACTTTTGTGTGTTCGTGTTTTAATATGCCTGTCTACATATCAGCTACTGGCCTACGTTCTACTTTAAACCTGGTGTTAACGCGGCCAAAAGGTAAGCAAAATGGTTGTGTTTCTTTGTCAGGTTGCCGTGCATGTGTATCGCATTAAGAACATTCGCTAAGGCACATAAATGCCATCAAATATTGAGACGATTGAATACAAAAACTCTCTCCAATAAATAATACACTCTGGCCTCTTAGCGGAGTGAACTCAGAACTGATTTCATTCGGTATGCTCATTTGCAATGTTAATTGTCCAGGTTTGCGCGCTCAGGAATATTTCCGTTGGAACCAATTTCTCTTTTCTTATGTGCTCACCGGGACGGGAAACCTCCTCGATCTATGGTCATTTGGAAGGCGTTTAGCAACTGCACAGGTATCTGTTAGGATCAGAAAAGGTAGGAAGATTTTACATTTGTACTACCCGTATATTGATGTATTTCGCGTCCGTTATAGTAACTGTTGTTTTTAAAAAAGGCAACATCCAAGTGTGCCGTTGCATTTCAATGCTAACGTCTGTGTAGTATATAAATTGTAGTATAGCGGGGTAAATCCCGAACGGCTATCATTCTTTGACTTTCATACCAGTATCTGTTTTGACGCTGACGCATTTCTTGCTCTTAAAGCTTTTTATCGTATAAATTGTAAGAGCTCTGATAGCAAATTTATTCATATCTTCGAACACAGTGACTCAGATTACATATTTTTGGTGATGTTTCCCGGCTGTAGGACCTCAATTTTGACAGCGGGCGTTACCGGCCATGGTTACGTTTGAGAGGCTCTTTGGCCGATGTAGAAAAAAAGAATAAAAAATAGTTTACAATTTTCTTGCCAAAAAATGAAAGAAAATTACAAATGTGAACAGTATTTACTTATTTTCCTAAAATTGCTGCAAGCAGGGTTTAAACTGGACTATTGAATAAACAAATTAATAGACAACTAGGTTGTTCTTTTTGCAACCATTTGTCGTGAAGAACAGGATATTTTTCTTTGGAGTTTTTATTTTCTTCTGGTTATCATGAAGTTATTGCTTTCTACAAAATAATCGCCCTCACAACTCAACCGTAGCCTGCGCAAAAGGCGTCATTAAGGTGCTTAGGGTTGTTTAGAGGCGCGAGCGCGAAGCGCGAGATACGCAGTAGGACGCAGTTACGTCACGTTTGCCGTCCTCCACTCGATTTTTAAACGTACCGAAGAAGGTTTCACCTAAGCTTATCTTATTGCCAAAAGCTACAAGAATTTTTCTGTAGCTGTATTAAAACTGAAGTACTGTTGCTGTTCGCAAATTTACTATGACGGTCGCTTCAAGCAAACTGATAAAGGTATTGCTGCATTTATTTTACTTTGGTGGGTCTCTCTGTACCCAAAGCAAAATAAGCGTGCCTTCCTTGGTGTGATCTTACTTACATTTGTTTCAACTGCGCTTCGATTCTATAACTTATAGATGTCACACGACCATCGCATGCACGACATAAGGTTATATGCCTTTATAGGTGATTGTCTGACTGCAAAACAAAACATTCCTGACTTACATACGACTATTGGCTTTTGCTGCGAAACTTTGCACCAGTTCTGGTGTGAAACTTTTACGGTGATTGCCTGACTGACCACGTACGACTACTGGCTTTTGCTGCGAAACTTTGCACCAGTTCTGGTGTGAAACTTTTACGGTGATTGCCTGACTGACCACGTACGACTACTGGCTTTTGCTGCGAAACTTTGCACCAGTTCTGGTGTGAAACTTTTACGGTGATTGCCTGACTGACCACCTAAGACTACTGGCTTTTGCTGCGAAACTTTGCACCAGTTCTGGTGTGAAACTTTTACGGTGATTGCCTGACTGACCACCTACGACTACTGGCTTTTGCTGCGAAACTTTGCACCAGTTCTGGTGTGAAACTTTTACGGTGATTGCCTGACTGACCACCTACGACTACTGGCTTTTGCTGCGAAACTTTGCACCAGTTCTGGTGTGAAACTTTTACGGTGATTGCCTGACTGACCACCTACGACTACTGGCTTTTGCTGCGAAACTTTGCACCAGTTCTGGTGTGAAACTTTTACGGTGATTGCCTGACTGACCACCTACGACTACTGGCTTTTGCTGCGAAACTTTGCACCAGTTCTGGTGTGAAACTTTTACGGTGATTGCCTGACTGAACACGTACGACTACTGGCTTTTGCTGCGAAACTTTGCACCAGTTCTGGTGTGAAACTTTTACGGTGATTGCCTGACTGACCACCTACGACTACTGGCTTTTGCTGCGAAACTTTGCACCAGTTCTGGTGTGAAACTTTTACGGTGATTGCCTAACTGACTGCGTACGACTACTGGCTTTTGCTGCGAAACTTTGCACCAGTTCTGGTGTGAAACTTTTACGGTGATTGCCTGACTGACCACCTAAGACTACTGGCTTTTGCTGCGAAACTTTGCACCAGTTCTGGTGTGAAACTTTTACGGTGATTGCCTGACTGAACACGTACGACTACTGGCTTTTGCTGCGAAACTTTGCACCAGTTCTGGTGTGAAACTTTTACGGTGATTGCCTGACTGAACACGTACGACTACTGGCTTTTGCTGCGAAACTTTGCACCAGTTCTGGTGTGAAACTTTTACGGTGATTGCCTGACTGACCACCTACGACTACTGGCTTTTGCTGCGAAACTTTGCACCAGTTCTGGTGTGAAACTTTTACGGTGATTGCCTGACTGACTACCTACGACTACTGGCTTTTGCTGCGAAACTTTTGTGGTGATTGTCTGACGACATACCATTATGGCTTCTTGACCACAGAAAAAATGAGTGAGTAAGATCAAACTCAGGATGACAAGCTCTTACTAGTGCGGAGAAAAATACTACAAGAACACGTTATCAGTCTGGCTTTAAAAAGTAAACTGTTGCCATAGCGTATTTGAAAACATGGACAGTATTGTTTTTTTTTACTGCAACAGAAAGGTCCTTGTTTGTAGTCAGGCGTTTACGTAAATGACGAAAGAGGAAACCATCCTCCCCACGTTGAAACTCGAGTTAAAGACCGCAAACGTTACCTTACTTTGTGGGTTCGTGGTTTTCAGCCGTAGTGGTTAGAAGTTTCCAACGGAAAGCCTGTTTACTCGAAACTTTCTATTAGTTCTGGTGTAGACTTTTTGCGGAGTAACAGTAGGCACGGCATACAATGCTGGCGATAAGCATGTGTCTACACTGAATTTGGGGTGATTTTGCAGAGGAGACCACACGTGGATCGAGCTTACTCGTTATGTTGTTTATTCTTAAACTTTATTTCACCTCAGTCGATTATCGTTGGAAAAAGTTGGCCTTAAGGCTTTGCGATGATCACTTTTTTTTACGTGTTATTGTGTTATGGACAAAGTTCGGGATCTTCCTTTTTATCGTTTACCTGGCAAAAACTCAAGACTACTCCTCAAGTCCACATTCCAAAACTGTAAGTACCGCTGAATGTCTTTAGTTGTTATTTTATTGTTATGTAATTCTTAGGGATAGGGAATAATATATACTAAACAAATACACTGATCTTTTCCCTATATCAAAAAAAAAAAAAAAAAAAAAACCGACAACTAGATAAAAGGGTGAAACAGGTTAAACACGCTTTTCTTTTTATATTATGTAAATTTGACGTAAAACAGATCTTGCCTACTGACTTACATGTTTTTCTTGGCAATGTGTTAAATGAAACTTTGCTGGCTGGCTCATAACTTACTTCCGCTACCGCTGGCTGGCAAACACCGAATTCCGTTTCACTCTGGCTGGGATTGCGTAATTTTTGTTTTTTTAACCTTGCTGGCTGGCAAAAAACCGTCAAACATGATTGCTGGCTGGGATTTTTATTTTCTGAAAGTCTTGCTGGCTAGCAGTGAAGAGCGGGTATTTTTTTCCCAGGAAAGTTAAATATTAACATGGGTTGACGTAAAAGCACTTTGCTAGCGTTTACGACATCGTATAATCAATTTTGCGAAAAATGTTCGTTGGGTACTCCTGGCTCTAGGGCTGAATAACACATTACGTTCCTATGTTATTAACCTCATGAGAGAAAAATCATTGTCATTTAACATTTTAATATTTTTACGTGAGAAAACTTGGCCAAATCAAGAGAATGAGCTAGAATGTTGACACAAACGTAAGAATGTTTGAGCTATGGAAGAGGTGCTAGATCGCAACATGTTCGTTTCCTCCTGTGTTATGTATTTTGCGCGGGAAGCCAGACCTTTTCAATCCTAACAAAAATACTCTTCTAGTTTTGAACCGGCTTAAGCCCCAACCCTAAGTTAATTTTCAATGGACACGAAGCTTTGATTTTGGGCGCGGGACTCAACAGAGACGGCTGTGGCCATTTTTTGAAGCGCGAGGCGGTCACAAGCTTTTTATAAAGTGTCAGTTAGAAAGTACTTCTCCTGTTGCTGGTTTAAAACTAACTTCCTTTTTTGAACTAGCGGACGGCGCGTTCCATATAGTTCCATGCAACATATTCTACTCCTGTTCCTAGTCTAAGACTAGCTTCTTTCTCGAACTGGCGGATGGCGCGTCCCATACAGTTCGATGTAACATATCCTAATTCTGTTTCTCGTTTAAAACTAACTTCCTTTTTCGAACTAGCGGACGGCGTGTCCCATACAGTTCCATGTAACATATTCTACTCCTGTTCCTAGTCTAAGACTAGCTTCTTTCTCGAACTGGCGGACGGCGCGTCCATTACAGTTCGATGTAACATATCCTAATTCTGTTTCTGGTTTAAAATTAAATTCTTTTTTCTAACTGGCGGACGGCGCGTCCCATACAGTTCGATGTAACATATCCTACTCCTGTTTGTAACCTAAAACTAACTTCTTTTTCGAACTGGCGGACGGTGCGTCCCATACAGTTCGATGTGACATATTCTACTCCTGTTCCTAGTCTAAAACTAACTTCTTTTTTCGAGCTAGCGAGCGGGGCGCGTCCCATACAGTTCGATGTAACATATTCTACTCATATTGCTAGTTTAAACTAACTCCTCTTAATTTTCTTACTTGTGGAAACTGGCGCGTCAGGAATTTTAATGAATCAATACTGACTCGTGCGATTTTCATGCCGGGTTTTTATGGAAGAATAATAAATAGGTGAGTGGAATAGAGTCCCTTACATTTTACGTATAAACAATGATGTAAATAGAATTTTGATTTTAAGAGTAGCGTGTGTTTAGGGTTTTATGCATCGGTAACCCTTCGCGAAGGGTTGGAAGAGAACAGTGCACTTTGGAAACTGTTTAAGAGGGTGTGTTCAAAATCGAATACAGCTAATTTATGGTAGTTAGATTATAACTCAGTATTAACAGAACAATTGATAGTGAAGAGAAAGAAATAATTTAATTTACTGCAGTCAGTTTCAAGACCTCCTTAGATTGTTTTTAACAAGACTGAGAGAGACGAGTATCTTTCGATGGATCTCAAGGGAGAGCCCGTAAGTCCTCAGACGGGCACTTACATGATACTAAAGGGCGCCGAATAAATTAATTACGGATTTCGAAATACGCGTGTTCGAAATATCCTTACCTAGCTCTTCGCATAATAATAACTATAATAATAATAACTTAATTCTTATATTGCGCGCTTTCCATGATTTCGATCTATAATAATTTAATACAGGGTATCCAACTGCTAATTATTTAAAATATACTATGATAAAATTAAAATAAACAACATATGTTAAGATACTAGTAATTATAGTGATAAAAATTATTAAAGCTTCCCTAAAGAGGTGCGTTTTCAGATGGCACTTAAAAATCCCTAGATCAGTAATAGAACGAATCTCACGCGGTAATACATTCCAAAGGGCCGGAGCTGCGACCTGGAATGATCTGTCTCCTAATGTAACCCTACTTCTATAAGCTGGCGTTGCAAGCAACAAACCATCCGAGGAGGATCTTGAATTATAATTTCCTGATCTTTTACTTGACACAAGTTCTCTTAAATACGTTGGCGCGAATCCATGGATGGCCTTAAAAACAAATAGTAGAATCTTAAAACTAATGCGTTGCCTAACCGGTAGCCAGTGCAGCTCGTACAGCAACGGCGTTATGCGACAGTAGCGTGGCGCGCGACAAACCAGTCTTGCTGCGGCATTTAAAACGCGCTGAACCTTATTCAGGTGAGAAGCTGGCAAGCCATATAAAAGACTTTTACAATAATCTACGCGCGAGGTAACAAACGCATGTACGAGGGATTTAGTGGTATCTGTACTTAAAAACCTACGGATCCGACTTATATTATGCAAATGATAGAATGCCGAGGCGCATTGCTTACTTATGTGGGATGACATATCTAGATTACGATCAAACCATGACTCAAGATTTCGCACAACTGATTTCGCCTCCACAAATGTGTCACCTACAGTAATGCCATTCAAGTTGACGTTCTGTAACTGTTGCCTAGTACCTATAAGCATCAGTTCAGTCTTATCATCGTTTAACATCAGTCGGTCTTCAATCATCCAGTTCCTCAAGTCATGTATGCTGTCACACATAGCATTTAGCGCGGCCTCGTCCTCCCCTTGCACATCAAGACTGAATGCCAAATACAGGTGTGTGTCCTCTTCGTAGCAGTGTACACTTGGGAGGTGCTTGCTGACGATATCAAACAGCTTACTGGTGTAGACCGTAAACAGAAGAGACCCGAGACAACTCCCTTGAGCAACTCCTTGTCTGAGAGGAAAAGCAGGTGACAGGCCATCATTTACAGTGGCACGCTGTGTATGATCCGCAAGGTACGACGCAAACCATTCTAATGCCTTGCCATCATTCTAGTGCCTTGCCATCCAACCAAATCTCGACTTCAAACGATTTAGAAGAGCATCGTGTCGAACAGTGCCAAAAGCAACGCTAAGGTCAAGGAGAACTAACAAAGTGACCTTTTGCGCCTCCATATTCAACAAAATATCATTCTGTACCTTGTGCAGTGCTGATTCGGTGCTATGGTTTCGCACTGAAATATGTACTAATTATGCTCTGCTTCCTTTTAGCAGTCTACTACGGTCTATCGTATTAAAGCAAATACGCATTACGCCGATTCAAAACACTTGTAAAAATTTTATACCCTGATGATTTCCCCGTGATTTCCTCATCTCTGACAATCTCGCCTATCAAAAATGTTGTGTTTTACAAAGACTGCTTCACTGCGATTTTACTTAATGTTTATTGAATGAACCACTGGGTCTTAGTTTGAATACATTTTAATGTGTTCAAAGGCGACACTCAAACAAAGACTCTTAGAAGAGTTTTTGCGGATCATATTCAGTCGGCGTTTTCTTCTATTCAAGTCTTCTTTTCTTTGCTACCGGCATTTTCTGGTTTGTTTTCAATGTAATGACATCATTCTTGACATAATAATGGATTAAGACGCCTCACTGGTCTCTGGGGGAAGAAAAGCCAGTGCGACTTGGGTGAAGGTATGTTAGGAATGCTAGTACAATGTATGTACTAAGGATTCGTATGCGGTACTTACAGTCGGGGCTCTGTGCGTCCTGTCATGTGTTTTACATTGCGCATCGTTTACTGCGCATATTATTGCCACGGCAGTTTCGCCTACCACTTTGTAATCCAATGGTCTTGAAATTCACCCCAGCCCCTTCGCGCAAAATGATCATTTGAAGCCAAAATTGCCCTTTTGTCGTCTTGATGCAGTGAAACGAACACAGTGAACCTCCCATTTTAATGGTGCTATTTACTCTTACAGTCAAACCAGGTCAAGCGTTCCCGTCGCTAACGAACTAATGAATTCATTCACGGAAGAATGATTTCGTTTGTTGATTCAATAATCCATTCATAAAATGAACAATCCAATAGTCATATTTAGCCTCGATTCCATAATCGAATGTTGATTCGATTACTGTTTTTTGAAAAATTACACTTTCCATAAGTTGACCTCAGAATTTTGTTTTTCCCTCTTTTTTTTCTGAGAGTCGAGTGCTGGCGAGTTTTGAAGTCCAAACCCAAACAAACTGTACGCCAGTTTGCTGCCAGTAATCAGTGCAACAGACCTAGGCCTGACCTCTTAGAAAACACGACGGTCAAACTGAGGTCAGTGTATGTGCGGTGATTGGTGGATTTCGATCCTCGGCCTTTGTCAGTTTCTTTGCGTTTGCGGTCTGTCTATTCTAGCTGTTATTTTGATTAAAGGCAATGAAAAACGCAATCGTAAACAGCAGGAAAAGGGAAGCAAATACGATTGAACACAACAGACAAGAATAAAGAACAGGTAGATTTTGTTCATAAACCAAATCAACATTTGATTATTGAATCGAGGTACAATTTGACTGTTGGATTATTCATTTTATGTTTGGATTATTGAATCAACAAACGAAATCATTTTGCCATTAATGAATTCATTAGTTTGTTAGCGACGGGAACGCTTGACCTGGTTTGACTGTAATGGCTGCCATATTTCAAGGAGAAAATCATCTGCATAGTAGAAGTTGTATTGTTGTAAGGATTATGAGATGTTGATTTCTTACGCTAATTACGAGGACGGGTAATGTAATTTTTAATAAAAATAATGGCCAAAAAGGCCAAAAAAAAAAAAAAACGGCTCGTGGTTTCTGTTTTCTGTTATCATATTCTTATCTAACCTGAGTGAGCGTATTAAGTATACGTGGCTCCAACCTGAGCATGCGGCTTGGAAAAATTTCAGTCAATCAATATATCATATATACGCCTGGTAACTACATATATTATGTACAAATAGAAAAAGTCTAAAAACTACAACTTTGGAACTGCAACGAGGGCAGCTGCGTGAGCGTTTCTTGAAACGACAGAACATATTTGTATAAACTGTTTTTAAAAAACGTCAATTGAACTAGAAGTTCTTAATATTAGAGGCAAGCTATTCCAAATTTCGCTTGCCATAACAGAAAAAGAGCGGCCGGCCTCTCTTTCCCTCGCATAGCACGGTGTAGTTAAACTCAGGTGTACGCTCCTAGCTGTGATGCTTACTGCTGAGCCTAAGTAACTGATTTATATACCCAGGCGTCTTATTGCGCACTTATAAGTAAAAAAGCACTTCTTAATGTCCGATTGAAGTTAGAAAGGGTAACCAAATGCAATTAAGCCTAATAAACAGGTCCACTGTAGAATGTCGTGGCTTGTCATCTAGGATAACTCTATTCCAGCGTTTCTAGAGCCTGAAGATCTTGCTCATATTTTCCTTATTGCACACTTTCCATGACACAAAACAATACAACAATAAAACGGGCAATTAATTGTAGAGTAACAGACTCTCTCTTCTAGAAAGATACGACTTAATCCTATTCAACATACCAATACGCTTAGATAATTTCTTCGAAGAGAATCTGTATTGTCACGAGCCATAATCGGGGGAGCATTCCGCAAGCGCAGGATCTACGCGGTTCCATCGAAATAGCTAAATGTGCTATTTTTAGAACAAACTACCCCACCCTCAACGTCATAAACTCGCGCAGGAACCCTCGGATTTTCACGTCTCTCGTGTGGAATTTCAGGAGGTGGGTGCTCGTTTTGAGTCCTTGTTCGAGTGTTCTCTGAACTTTCAAAGTGCTTCATATCTCAATAGGCAATGCATTCACATTGGAAGAATGAGCCAATGTTGTACGTCTTGGTCGCAGTGTTCCATCGCATCCTGTGCTACACTCACTAAAAATATGTTCTTTGCTGGGGGTCTCGTGGAGGTACACGTCGTATTCCTGTTCGTAAATCAGCGCGGAGAGACACATTTAATTATTCATCCTTCCGTACGGGTGTTGGTGAACGGATACGAGTTCTTTCCTGTGTACAGTCAACTAATTGTGCAAGTCTGCCCAGGATGACATCTACGTGCCTGGTACTAAATGTTCGCAAGCTTGTGAAAAAATTTGCTCGGGAACAACTACAACGTGAGCTGATGAGTGATTCGATTGATCATTGCTGCTTATCTGAGGCATTGGCTATTGGCATTGGCATTGGCTTGATATTGACAGCTCACTTGTTACGCCAGACGGATATTTAATGCTTCGAAAGGACCGAGCAATCAAGAGGGGCGGTAAAGTTGCCATTCTGTGCAGTTAGGACTGGAAAAGGAGATAGATGTATGTGGCAACGAGTACGAATGTTTGTGGGTAAAGGTATCTACGACCAATCACGATTATTTTGTTGCCTCGGCTTACCATCCACCGACCTTTAAAATGATTATTACGAAACTGATTTTATTGAATTTTTAATAAATTCCTGCCAAAGCATTCTTGCCACGCCACCGAATGCGAGGTTAATTATTGCTGGTGACATTAATAAACTTGATTTGAAATCTCTCACACAACAAAGTGGCTTTTCGCAACTTGTCAAGACTCCGACAAGGAATGACAGTATTTTGGATGTATTTCTGACAAATACACCGAATATAATTGGGAAAGTGTGTACTTCGAAGAGTGTGACTAAATCTGATCATTCCAGTGTATTCATTTTCCCCAGGGTACGGAATCCCCCGGTGAGATCTGCCACGTTGAATTTATTTACGCCCGAAACAATCGTAAGAGCTTGATGCTATAGAAACTGCAGGCTACTGATTAGTCTCCTGTCCTTGCTGAAAATGATATCAACATCGCTATTGCCAAGTTTTATTGTATGGCCCATGAAAAGTTCAAGAAAGCTTTCCCTCTATACGGGTAAAAATGTCATCTTAAGACCCTTCCGTCATGTCACCTTTGTTAAAACATCTTCTGTCTAAAAGAAATAACCTTCTGAGGAAAGGGATGGTACAGGAGGCTGGTTTCTTGCAACCCAGCTTATTAAAGAGAATCGGCTGAATCTGACTAAGGTTAACAATCAAAAACATGACATGGGCAGCAAATGTTGGTGGAAAATGATTGGTAAATTAACTGGACGTGTTGGATCAAGTATGAATCTCTCATCTTAATTCAATGTGAACGATATTAACACTCACTTTCAGTCAATCAACACAGTCATAAATTATGTCGAACCTGCCCTGCTGGAGATTATGCCTGAGCTTCATAAAGTTCCTGTGATTCATGAAATATTGGTCTTCAAGGCATTAGCGCATGTGAAAAGGACTGCCACTGGCCCAGATGACATGCCTTTTTGGTAGGTCGCATCCTTGCCAGATCCCACGAGTTAATACAGAGAGGTTTAAGAAAGACCTTGTAAACAGAGGTCTCTTTGATTCTAAATAGATTGTAATTAACACTTAGACAGCTGTATCTTCCTTTATAATGGATCTTGTAAGTTTTAACGTTTGTTTAAAACCTTGAATGAAGACTTTTGTTATCATTATCATTATCAGCTTAACAGGCGAAAATTCGGCTTAGTTAGTAGCCTGCGAAAACAGCCGAGCAGCGAGAAGAAACGGCTGTTTTCGCAGGCTATATATTTAGCTGCTGGAACAGACAGAATACAGACTAATCTTTTCTCTACGAGAACAATGGCCTTTGAAACCATTTTGGAAAATAATGGGAAGTTGCGCTCGACCTTTTTTTTTTTTTCAAAAAGACTTCATTAATATCGGCTACAAACAATCTTGTGAATCAAGTTAAATTTTGTTAAACACTTAAGAATTAAAAGAAACGAAAGATCATACCAGAGCCGCATTGAAAGCCATCTCCATAGTAGCCTTGATCACAGGAGCAAGTGAATGAGCCACGATAATTTGTGCAGCTTGCGAGCTGGTGGCAGTAGTACTGGTCCCTACTGCATTCATTCAGATCTGTCGATTTAAAAATACTGATCATACTAACCTCTTTAAATATAATACTCTATCTTGAAAGCACCCATGCTTTTTTTTAAGAAAATAAAGGAGAAACAAGCTCATTCTTTTTCTTGCTGATAGCTTATTATTTCCCAGGCTTTCGACTCATAAAGTGACGCCTCAGGATAAGAGTTCTATTCAGAAAGAGTCCGTCTCAAGATTTTACAGTGGAATCCCGCTCTTCGGACACCTGCATAATACGGACACTTTCGTTTGTCCCGACAAAACCCTCATGTATTTTCTCTGAAAATGACCAACGCCGCTTAATACAGCAACCGGTTGATAAGGACAACCGACACTGTTCTGTGTCCCACTCTCATATATCATCAACCCCACTTTACTAACAGTTCCTTTTGGGCACTGCCTATAATTGAATACCATTCTGCCCTATTCGTTCGTTTACTGTCGCGTGATAAGATATACCGACATTAAGATGCTCCCATGGGAGTTAACTAACACTACGTAGCGCTATTTTAGCATGTCAACGCTGTTACGCTATAACTTTGGGTGGAATGCAAAACGGGTAAAGGAGGTTCAATTCCTAGGGTCTTCAGTAAAATAAATGAAGAAAACACATAGCCTTTGCCTCGGAAAGAGTGGGACCTTCAAGTAAGTCGCATGAACAGGTAGAAATTGAAAGGGTGGGTTCGCCTGCAGCAAGTGACGGGACTAGCCAAGACGGTTTTTTCTCACCTTTCTTACAAGTAAACTGATGACAGTCACTGCATTTTACGTCATTCCATTCATATTTATATTCAACACCAAGAGTATGTACACAGTCCTCATCCCGAAAATTGTTTGGTTGGTTTTTGGCCCAAGCTGTAAAGTTTCCAGCACCACGATCTACCCAAGAAAAGGAACCCTCTGTGAAAATATCATTCAATCCTAGCCAGGATTTTGCTCCATTGTGAAGATGCTGTAAAAACACATTTTCTTCATTGTTTTGAACATCAACAAGAAACGAGTTTTCTTGTCGGCATTTGTCCCGTGCTGTGGTCCAGTTTTCACAAGTCTTACTTGTGAAATAGCAAAAGCCATTGAAATAGTTCCAACCAGGTTCACAGATGTCTGCAAATTAAACGTAACCCCACAAAGATAATATATGAATAACTTGTACCGGATTGTTAGATATGGTTTCTCGTTAGCAACATCTCATTTGTAGCACTCGTACGACAGTGATGCGAAAAAAAGGCGTCACGCAGAGGGAGAAGATCACTTTTTCCAAGAGATGGCATCGAATTTTAAAGAAAAACAAGGCTCTAACGATTGTTTTAAGAATGATAATTTTGTTTTCCAGCAGGATCTTTTATCCTCGTTATTTATCCTTTACGAACGTTTTCAGGAGTGAATTCCTCGAAAGTTGGGAAAATCGGCTTGGAATGTTTTTATATATAGATATATAAACAGATGAGATACACTCTCTTGACCCCGGTATGACTTGCAAACCATCGACTTGTGTTAGTTGAGGGAATTTCCAAAGTATTTCCAGATAAATCCATCCGGTAACAAAGAAAATTTTTCCGCTTTCACTTGCTAAAAACTACTCATAAAATTAACTGGGTAGTACACTGTAATACAAACCTGTTAGCACAGCATAACTGACGGAAAAGGGATCATATCTGGTCTCGTATAATTCCTTGACACAGGCTCTGAATCCCGAGGTATTCATGTTCTGGTAAAAATAAACACTTTACGTGCTTAGGACAATTGAAATTGAAGTCATAAACAACTGCGTTAACATGTATTGAATGTCAGAATGTTTTTAAAACCTTTCTCCTACGTCGTTTTACGTGAGATAGAAATGCGAACAAATTCACCGTAACTTTTAAACACCATGGTTTTATTAAAGTATTAAGACCTATAGATAATTAAATGATTGGAAGCTTTAGAGAGAACAAAGGTATAAAAGATAAAATAATTATATGGTGTATAAACGTTTGAAATGCGCCACACCTATTATCGACCTATATATCATCTTAAACGCGTGTCTCTGTTCAGTTTTAGCGGAGCTCTCGCGCGCAAAGCGCGCAGCGGAGCACCATGGGTAAGAAAATGTGGTAAACTACCCATCCACCAAAATTTGGTAATCACGTGACCGTACACCGACCGCCGACCGTCCGTCCGCACAACAGGCATACCAATGTTAACCTGAGATCAGGCCCAATTTTAGCGGTTCTCATACATTTTCTCTAACAGCTACCGCTAAAATTGGGCCTGATACAAACTCTCTCACGTTTGTGCTCGTTACGGCCAGATTTTGGCCGTAACGCTGATTGGCTGTTAGAACAACACCACAAGATCTGATTGGCTGTCGGAAACGCCGGAAGTTGAAAGCGCTTTTTCCTCACGTGTGTGGTTCTTTTCGCGAATGATCCGTCGTCGGCGGCGGAGAGAAGGATGGATTTTGCTGTCTTTTTTATTGTTTTATGGTCTTATGGTAGGAAAATATGCCTTAATATGTGCCATGGAAATTCAGAAAATTCATATGGTTGTTCATATCTTCTCAGGATTTGCTTTATTTATGGAAATGATGTGAGTGTATCGCGGAGTTGAATACCTCTGCAAGTTGTTGACCGCTAACAAGGTGCCTTTGGATTTACTAACAAACGAGTGCAAATCAAAATACTGTCCACCTTAAAACTGGTTTCATCTGAAAGTTTAGCCGGGAATGACTTCTCTGAACGGGGTACGCAAGCGGAGGCTCACTGCGAAAGAAACCTCAATCGACAACTGTGAAGTGTTAGACGAAAAATATCGCATCGCTGTTCAAGGAATTTATGTAGGCATTATTATAACAGACTGGTTGTTTGCCTTCGCTTTTTGTAAAATATAAACCAGGAAAACTGGTGTCCTCGCTCGTTAGCTGTTTGCTTTTGTTTTTAAAGATTTATGTACTGAAGATCGGGGAAAATTGTGGAGGAAAATATTAAGGCAAGACTATCCTCGGAGACCCAGGGGCAGATAGGGGGGCGAGGGAAAGTCTAAACAGGCAGAAAAATATGGCACAAAAGAAAAGTAAAGAACGGCCAGAAGAGCTCGACGAGGAGTCGCAAGCAGTAAAATTTCTGTCCCGTAATTTAATCAGTTAAATCATCAAAGTTGACAGGTCTTTCTGATGTTTAAAGCGACCGTTCGGTTTACCATTTACACCTTCAGTGCGAAGACTGTCACGGGAAAATTAACACTGTCAGGATAATTCTTACCATAACAGTGGTAGGTCGCGCGCGTCTGGTCGGTTTCGAAGAACGTGATCGTGACTGTTGTTTTCATTCAATGACTGTGCGCGTTGATATGCCAACGTTTAAAACAGACTGCAACATTAAATTTTTGTTATAAAAGCAAAGAAGCTGCTGAGTAGAAACTAAACCGTCCCAGACTTATTCCGTTTCATTCGTGTACTTTTATTTTGATGGGGTCTGTATGATGAATTTGCTTCTGCCTTCTAATCAGGCACGTAAACAACATAGAGATAAAACATTTCATTTTGCTTTTGTGGAGTAAATTCATCTTAAAAAAGTTTAACTAGTGGACCACTTTCTCCGCGTACTTGTAAAAATAGGCATTTCATATGTCGCGCTATAGTGCGAAAATCTTCTTGTCGTGGATTAGATTTCAGTATACATATTGTTAATCTTCATTTCGCGCCAGAATAAATTAGTTTGCGCGGAAAGGGCTTCTAAAAAAAATCACAAGGTTTGTCCAACTTCGAGTCCACCTTCTGGAGATACGCGGCATGGTAGCTGGAATACATTGCCGAGGAGAAGATCTGGCATTTTTTCCTCCTCGTCTTTTTTTCCCCGCGACGTTTGTTTATACTTGTAGTGAGAATGCCGTGCATATCGGTGGATTTTACTTCAGGAGCGGCTTCAGTTCCTGCGGCTTGCTAATCATCATAAAGAAGAGTGCCGGAATCGCTTTGTTCGCCTTTAACAGATTTGTTGTCGAATGCAAGGTAAAAAAACGGACTACTGTAAGGTAAGAATTGAAGTTTAAATTTGTTTCTCGGCGAAAAATAGTGCATACAACTCGTGAAACCTGTGAGTATTACCTCTGTTTAATATACCGGATGTCATGCGATAACCCCTCGCTTTTACGATGGATAAGACAGATACAAACAATAATTTCGCATCGTTTAGTATAATTTACTTAATATGGAGATCATCTGAGGACGATTTTTCGTTATATGTGCTTCATTTCTTGGCTTATTCCGGCTACGTGCGAAAAATTAGATGACAATGTTTGTGTGCTATAATTATACTGATAATTTCTTGCACCTTGAAACTCCTGAAAGCCAAACTTGTTTAACCCTAGCAAAAAGCTCTTTCAATGGAGGAACCCGGGGGGGCACTTTAGGAATTTCTGGGTGGGGATGTGCCGCTGGGACCGTGGAACCCTTGACCTATATTAGAGCTAGTTCAGCTGAATTTTGCTACCCTATACTAGAGTAAACTCCCAAAATCCCCCTATCCTAGAGTAGCTGTTTCCCCAGTCTAGATAAAATCTTCAATCAACTGATCAGTTTCGTGAAAAATGATACCCTATTCTAGACCCAAACGCTCTGATTTATATACCCTATCCTAGAGTAAACTGTTTGAAAACCATACCCTTCACAGCGGCACATACCCATATAGCCCATATATGGCAGTACCCCCGGGGAGGAACTCAACTTGATAGTTGCACTAAAGTCTAATAATTGTTACTGCATTTGCATGCTCTCTGTAACCTCGTGGGTACAACATACCTGATGGTTACATTAATAATAATCACTGCATTTGCTCTCTGTAACCTCGTGGGTAGAACATTCCTGATGGTTACATTAATAATAATCACTGCATTTGCTCTCTGTAACCTCGTGGGTAGAACATACCTGAAGGTTACGTTGATAATAATCATTGCATTTTCTCTTTGTAACCTCGTGGGTAGAATATACCTGGAGGTTACGTTAATAATAATCATTGCATTTTCTCTTTGTAACCTCGTGGGTAGAATATACCTGACGGTTACATTTAATAATAATCACTGCATTTGTTCTCTGTAAACTCGTGGGTAGAACATACCTGAAGGTTATGTTAATAATAATCATTGCATTTTCTCTTTGTAACCTCGTGGGTAGAACATACCTGATGGTTACATTAATAATAATCACTGCATTTGCTGTCCGTAAACTCGTGGGTGGAGTATACCTGATGGTTACATTAATAATAACCATTGCATTTCCTCTTTGTAACCTCGTGGGAAAAAAAAATTAATGCCTCTCTCCAGGAAATTTTGCCCTGTCCTTTGAGCATAGTGATCTTTGGGCAGCGAATTCACGAAAACAAAAAGGTAAAACGCTTTTTTAACAACAGCATTTATATTATTTCGCTTTTTGAGGGAGGTTAAACATTAATGGAATAGAAAATAAAACAAGCTGATAAAGCGGAAAAAGTTATCTTTATAAAATGCGCTTTGACAATGTCAAGGAGTGAAATAAGCTGAAGTTTCGTAGTTAGCCCGAAGAAAACCTGTTCCTGCATGAAAAGCAGGTCTGATTCCCTTCTCTTAACTAGAAGAGATGCATATCCCTGTGAACCAGTTTTTTTCAACCAGGAGCGATTCCCACTCACTTCTGATACTTTATTGACACGAGTTCCTATTTCAATATACGTCTAATTCAAGCTTAGCCGCGTGATAGCTCTTCATTAGCGAAAAGGTCCAAGTGATATTTTGATTGACGTGTTGGTTTGGATCCTGAGGTTTTTTAACACCTTTTCTCTAGCTTAACTGGCGAAGATACTCTAGGAATTTGCCCTTCAATTCCAAATTTTTTGATGTGCCGCAAGATGCCGTGCAAAAATATCACCGCTTGCGGCTCCTCGTGTCTCGCCGTTCTTTACTTTTCTTCGTGCCCTATTTTTCCGCCCGTTTAGACTTTCCCTCGTCCCCACTATCTGCTCCTGGGTCTCCGAGGATGAGGCAACACAAAAATAGAAATTTCACTATTTTAAATTCGAGCACGCCTAGCCAAAAAAACTAGTAGGACATCGAGTCGCCGTCTTTTTAAAAACTTTTTATCCTCTATGCGAACAGAATGTGATTGTGCTGACTGTTTTATTTTTAGCTGAAAAAATTAACAGATAAAAGCTATTTTTTAAGTCAGCCAGTCTGCATTTTTCCCACGCGTGAAAATTTGCATACTAGAAAAACAAGCAACGGAAATAATTTTGGTTGGCTCATTCGGCAAATGTCAATCAATCAAAAAAGTGGGCGGCAGACGTTTCGTAGAAGGTTTGTATCAGGCTCTCTTTTCGTTTCGCGTTGCCCGCCGGAATGTAATTTTAAAAGCGAACCGAAAATAGAGCCTGATCTCAGGTTATGCCAATGTAAAATAACTCAATCAACAGGTATGGCAACCCAACCCAACGCGAGCCTGGTTATTTTGAAGGGAAATCGCATAGCCACCCGCGTCTTGTAAAGCAGAAACAACTAAAGAGTTAATGAAGAGGAAAATGGAAAGCGGAAATTGTCTCTGTATCCGTGTTTTCTAAAGTATTAAGCTTAGATTAATTGTCATGTCCACAACTTTGGAATATAGAGCAAGAGAAAGTAGGCGGCAGGCCAGCGAAGCTCAACGAGAAAAAGTGCGACAGAGATTTAGAGCGAGAGATAAAGAACAAAGGAGACATTTTTTTGTTGGAAGAACAACATGACAATTTTGTAACGGCGGTGACAAAATGAGAAATGCTAGCGGCCGCCAATGCAAGGTGAACATGAGCGGCAGTGAAAAAAAGTGAACGAAAAAATCGTGTAACTAAGAAGTTTCTGGAAGTTTCACGTTGTAGTCGTGCAAAACAACGGCAAAGAAATGTACAAAAAAAAGTGTGCTGCACGTGCAAAGTTGCTTTTCTGCTAATTAGACCTATTGTTGTCTTTCACCGTTCTCCGGCGTTGCCTTCACCGCTTAGCATTACATGATTTTATATTTTGTTTGAGCAAACCATAAATATCATCGAGAGCTACGCTTTTAGCCCTGGCTAAATCTATTTATTAAAAACTGAATCATTGGATAATGCAATTCTAGCATTTTGATTGGCTTAGCCGTTATGGTATATGAGCTAATATACCATGTTCTCCATATATGGTCGGTGTACGCGTCAGTTTTTTTTCGCGAAGGATAGAACGGCGCCCGAAGCAAATCGTTTTAATTCATTTCTTAGAATACTAGAAACGCAATTTCAACGAAAGAAAAAAGACAAAAACAAACAAAAAAGCCACAAGAGCTTGTTTGAAAGTTTGTCGAAAAACACATGGAACTAAAGTACCTTGACCAGCTACGAAAGAAGACAAGTGTTGTTTCTTCATGATCGCGAAGCCATTCGCCGATCGAGTCACTCGCCGATGGATAACTGCAGCTTGTTTATCCAACATCAAGAATATAAATCACAAGTAACCAGCTACAAATACAGGCTATGCAGCCATTCACTAGAGCAATCGAGGCGGCAGTATAGCTTCTTTTCTCGTTCAGCAAAACCAGCTTGTGGCTTCAAACAACTTCATAACAAGCGACGAGGTAATACCAGTAGTTTTTCTCCGTTGTTCTTACTTTTATAACTGCACGGAAAATCCAAATACATAGTAATTTCGACGGCTGTCACTTAAAAATTCCTTTCCTTCACATTATCTGCCAGGTTTTTAAAGCTGTTCTGCTCTGTAAAATCCTAGAATCACGATGAGTTTTTAAAAAACTAATGTTCATCGCACAATGTTTTGATTTTTCATTCATGCAGTCTAGGCGAGCCCGTTCGCGCGTTGACAGTTTTGATAGACGTGTGACACGTCAATAGCGGAAGTCCCTTGTCTTTTCCGGTTTGTTCTAGTCGGGGCGATTCAACAAGATTTTGTGGGCGTTTTTAATAAAACAATTATTCCACTCGGGCTTGTTGGATATGAAATGATTATAGCCAACTCGGCGCTATGCGCCTCGTTGGCTATCTATCATCTCGTATCCAACGCGCCCTCGTGGAATAATTGTTAAATATTATTATTGTTCGGGGAAGATGTTACCTCGATCCAAGTTGTAATTCCGTTGTGAGTAGGTGCTGAATTCCCAGATACTGTCGTGCTGTGATTGGCTGAGACAAGCACTGTCGGAGTCGAGTTATAAGCTCTCGTGAATGAAACGAACTGCCATATAAGAGAAACATAATACATAACAATTATTCACCGATGTGGAGGTGGCTAGTCCTGGGTATTTACCGAACTGCGAAGCAGTGAGGTAAATATCCACGACTAGCCACCGACACTGAGGTGAATAATTGTTTTAGTATATACTAAAACAGTGAGATAATTGAGCACAAAAATGACGATTTTTAACTCAACGATTACAATTTTGGCGCGTAATGACCGGACGGCTGCGGCCGTCGCTTTTTCTTGCCGACAATTAAAACTTTTGAAGGCATTTGTTTAGTTCTTGCGGGGAAATTTCTTCAAAAGGAGTTGTGAATTCTTTTTGTATTTAAGATCATTCTATAAAAAAAAGATTATTAAATGCAGTTTTAAGCTTATTTATAAACAACTCAACTAAATAAAGTAAGCAAGACTTAAACTTAATTTGCATTTGTAAACAAAAACTTTTTCACCGGTTTTATCGATAAATTCGTGTCCAAAAGACAAATCTTTACCTGTTAAAACTTCCAATCCGAACTTCGTCACCTTCTTCGTGTATTTCGGAAACAGCTTGCTTGATTAGTTGTGAAATTTCTTTGTTTGTTTACGGCAGCAAACCGGGAAGGCATTTTGCTCGCAACTTACGTGAGTTTGGCGTCGCTCGCTCGGAGGTACTGGAGGATATTCACTGATTGAGTAGCCAATCAGAGCGCGCGAAAAACACTATCCACTGTTTTAGTATATACTAAATAGATTTAGCCAGGGCTAAAAGCGAGGCTTCCATTAATAAATTTATAATTTGAATCAAACAATAAACTTGTACTCCACAATTCAGTTAACTTTAGAGCACATTCGCGTGTGACTTTTCAGGGAAAGGCTAAGTGATTTTTTAAAAAAAATAATTTGCAAACTGCCCAAAAGTGAACCAAATCTCACATCGACTTGATAGCCTCATAAGTACACCCAAAAACTGGCAATCATCTTCGATCACATTTATTAATTAGGCCTGGAAAAAAAAATTCCGGTCGAATTTTTTCGTTCGACAAGTTTATTTTACAAAATCTTGCCAACAAATCTGGGTGCGTGTAAACCAACCTTTGATATCATTTATACATCACATCTGAGGTGAAACAGTACTATCAGGCACTGTTTTTATCATACAGACCTGGGACAACAGAATGCAGTATTTCACAATATTGCGATACAAATTGCTATTCAGGACGATCGAAGCACGCGTGGGCTTTAGCCGTAAACCGTTGAAAAAAATTTTCAAGATCATCTATACGGCCAGCCGGTTCTGACTTTTGCAGTGCTAGCAGTGGCGAGTGTTTGAATGAACATTAACAGGGTTGCGCTCCAACATAATAAAGAATTTATTATGTTTATTTTTTATTTTAAAACGGTTTAACGCGCGGCATTTTGAGTACTCCGGGAAGCGTTGTTTACTGAACGACTGAAAACAATCGGCACAACGATTAAAATTACAAAAGAGAGTACTAACAATCAATAAAAGAAATATAATTCCGTGAAACATATACTAAGACGAGAATTTTCATTCAGAAAGACAAGTATTAAAGTGTCTCTAAAAGAGTCTTCGAGCTTAAAGCTGAAGTTTATGTTTTAAGCCGGCTTCCCGGTGTTTGCTATTTTCGAAGACAAACTCGAGGCAAGAAAATCACTCAAACCTTTCTTTTACAGCCAGAATTATAACTAAATAGTCTTTGAAACGTTTTCTTTCTATTTGCGGTGAGAAAATGTCTAAACGCTTTTTAAAGATCTGAAAGCTTATAACAAACCTGATACTCGGTCAGATCATTGTCTCAAATCTTACAAACGTGCATAAACAAAATAGCCGCATAAACTACGCTCGACTTCATTAAATTAGGAATAAAAAACAAGCATCAAAAACAATAATTACTTAGGCTTACCACTCGAGATGCTGCTCCTGAAAGGTATCAAGTAAGGCCAGTATCGCTTCAGACTTTGCAACCCTCTTACGCATTAAGCAAGACGAAAACGAAAACGATGCCAATCGAAATCGGATTTCCGACTTTGACTAGCCAAAACTAAAACAAACTAGCCATGAATAACAGAAGACTCCTGATAGCAGCTGAATTTCATTTTGTACATCCAGTGGAAAAAGAAAGTTAAAAACATCACAAGTTGACACAAAACTCTGTCAGCTTCAGCTGTCAAAGTAAACAAGATTCAAGATGCTGCATAAATTTTCCGCATGAACTCACCTGTCAAATTTTGGCCAATCAGAGCATAAAAATTGGACGTAGAGCGTGAACAACGCGTGAACATGGCGAGAAACGTCAAAAGCAACTGTCTTCCCTGCCTGTAGCAGCTGGCTGAATTTTCGCGTCTGAATTTTGGCGTCCGAGGTTAGTATGAAATCAAAATTTTAATTGTGCGGCACATAAACACAACATATTTCATATGAATTTAAAAAATAATAAACTTGAGCCTGCGATCATTTGGAAACCAGTACCTTGTCAACGGATAACTTCAAAAAACACTTGACCTCGATGGGTCGACACCTGAGCCCGCGATACGGTCAAGTGATCCTGGTCAGCGGATACCTTGTTTTGACAGCTGTCAATGGATCACAACATTGATGTCCAATATTTGTATCAGTTTTCCTGTGCTCCGATCCCAAACTAGCTAGAAAGTATGAGACTGAACATTGATCGCGATCTAGTAAAATAATTAACTGGTCAGCGGACAGCTTCCAAATAAATCACGTCACCTCAATGAGTTGACACATGAGCCCGCGATATGGTCATGGGATACTAGTCAGTGGTTATCCTGTTTTGACAGGTGTCAATTGACCATATTGTGAATGTCTAATGTAAAAGATGTGGACTTGGCAAGACACGCCTGAGACACCCCTCCCTTCCTTTTGATAGTCTCCCCTACCCCACCTGTACAATCCGTAGACGCGTGCGTATGTACGTACGCTCGGTCAGTCACGTGACAACCAAAGGAAAAGAGGTTGACCATAATCTATGGGTATGGGGCTCTGTCCCACGCGCGCTTTGCGCGCGTGGGAGCCCCGCTACTAACAACATTTACTGACACTGTTTCCAAATCATAAAAACTTTAGTTACAGTATTTTTTTTTTTTTTTTTTTTTTTTAAGTAAAAATTGGACAAACAATATTTACGATGTATCATTTTATCAAAGTGAACTGCCAACTTATTTTGACATCTATTTTGATTTTAACCATTGTTTTCCGGATCAGCTTCTCGGTTTTTCTAGCATTTTCATTCCACATTTTTTATATCTACTGCGTATATGACTACAAATCTTTTGGAAATATTTAGTGATGTAAATGTGCGATATATTATTAGAGAAAATGCTGCGAATAGCATGCTAATGCTTTTGCAGAGAATTCTTCTCTCACCTCGCAATAAGCATTGTTCATTTTATCCAAAGGTGGGTTCGTATTTGGAAAACTTATGATGCCATGTTCCGTGAAAAGAGGCTTATGCAGTTTGGAGGACGCAAACCAGTTCTGTGAAAAGAGGAAAAAACAAAAGTGATACCACTTATACTTGTAACAGGATAGTAACAAAATTCAGTATATAAACTCAATATTTCTTAGGCCCCTTTAATTATAAGCATTTTGACCTGTGTGAAGTTGTGACCTAACAAAGAACGCAAGGAGTCAAAGGTGGGTTCGTATTTGGAAAACTTATGACGCCATGTTCCGTGACATCAGGCGAAACAGGAAGAGCGTGAAGGGAGGCATGGGGACAAGGCAGACCAATTTCTTGTGCGCTATTGAAAATTCACTCCCTTTAATGCAAATCAATTCTTTTTTTGTTTGTTTGTTTGTTTTTCTTTTCCTATTACTATTATTACAATTTCTGTTTCTTTCCATGATTTTCTTTTTGGAGTTCCCTTCTTTTGACTGAACCATCACTTGCTGACGATCTTAAGTTCTCAATGATTTTCATCTTACAGACCAGCATTCCTCAAAAATTTTGTAGAAAGTTGCGTTCCAGTTTCTAAGAAAATCACCAAGAACGTACCACAGTGATATCTTGGTGTCTACCGTCAAAGTTTTGCATTTCACGAAGACAGACTTTAACTGAGTCCTTAGTTACGTCTTCAATCCAAATGAGAGCAGCATCATACTCTTTACCAGTCCTCAGGTGCTCTGACGTCACAAGGACTATTGGCGCCTCAGCAAACTTGCCCTGAAGAAAAAGCAAAAACACGCAATAACAATAACTGAAGTGATGTTAAGATGAATATTGCTACATTATTAGTCTATTTATTATACCTAATGTTGTCTTGTTAACTAAGTCGCTAAGACAGTCACAATTTCGTAATAGATCTAGCAATTGTCATTTTTCTACCCAGTTATTTTTTTTTTTTTAATTTTTAATGATATACTATTGAGCAGCACACTTACACTTCCAGTGAACAATTTCACTTGGAAGAAAGAGAAACCATATATGCTCGCCCGGGGCAACGAAAATTTTCGTGCCCCGGGCGAGCATGGTTTCTCCTTCTTCCATGTGAAATTGTTCACTAGAAGTGTAAGTGTGCTGCTCACTAGTGCTCATTAAAAATTATTATTAAAAATCATTCAACCATATATGCTCGCCCGGGGCAACGAAAATTTTCGTGCCCCGGGCGAGCATGGTTTCTCCTTCTTCCATGTGAAATTGTTCACTAGAAGTGTAAGTGTGCTGCTCACTAGTACTCATTAAAAATTATTATTAAAAATCATTCAAAATTAGTTAAATTTTTTTTTTTAATTTTAAAACGTGGATTAAAGCTGTAGTGTGAATGAAAGTCTAACATTTATCAATTAATCTCTCACCGTGGGAAAAGTTACATGTGCGCAATTGGTACCAGACCACCATTTCTGCAACTCAACCGTTCCCGTCAATCCTTCGGCTGGTGCTCCTTGATAAGCCACCCAATCAATGGTGGCAAATGGATTCTTGCCTTCTTCTTTCCTCCCGGTTTGCATGACACAGACGGTGAAGTTTTTTGTGTTGACACTTTCTGTCCATGAAGTAACAGCGTCGTGGACTGTCACAGAGTCATTCAGCTTCATGTGGTTGACGGTTATTTGAACATGAACTTGTTTATCCGGATAAAACCGGTATGGAGGAAATGCGACTGTCTGACAATTTGAATCTGACCATTTTGGATCGTGTAGCAAATCTATACGGCCCCGTACAACTGGAAAACCTGTTTTATAATAAATTAAGAACATTATGAGGAAGCGTCACTGTAATAATTAAGCATTATCATTAAGGCAGATTTACTAGCTTGCTTTAGAGCAATCTTTCAGCATTGTCTCCGTGGTGATGGTTGGTGCTAAAGAAAACCGTGTGGGAACTCCAGTGCAACAAAATAGGAACTAAAACGAGGCTATAACCTGCAACGCCGGATACCTTTCCACAACATAATGAAAAGTAGCTTCTTATTTTTGCATGCTGGTTTCAGTGCCCAAGATAAACAATGCTAGGACACGACAAAGGCGTAGCCAGGGGAAGGTTCCAGGGGTTCCGGAACCCCCCTCTCGCACCAAGGGACTGCCCCCCTCCTATTTTTAACAGTGATTTTATCCCAGCAAGAGTGTAATGGACTCTCGATTCCTGAAATTCTTCGTTTTGTTCTATGCTTACAATAAGTACAGTGAACGTCATTTTGGTATCTATTTAATTCGCAAAGCAATTCAGACACTCGCTGCATGCGATCGAGAGTTCTTTCCTAACATCCGCACCTTGATCCGCCTTTTGTGCACGTTGCCGAAAAACGTCAGCTGAATGTGAGCGCTCATTCAGTACCCTAAGAAGGTTAAAAACATACCTGAGGTCGACCCTGTCAAGCGAGCGAGAGTCTGGGCTGGCGTTGATGAACATCAATTACCACCGAGACATAAATATCGATGAAGTGATAAACACGTTCGCTCAACGGCAACCAAGGCGTCTTCTGTTTGCGTAGCGTAAACGCCAAAGTCTTGTACGTACGTAATGTAACGATCTTAGACCAACCGTTTTCGTTGGAACCAATTTGGAACTCCCCCTCCTAGAAATCCTGGCTATGCCCCTGACGAGTACACCCGTCATCATGGTGCTCTCGCAAAAATTTTTGTGTTTTTAATGTTTTGGGGCGCCAGCACGTCTCCAAACGAACAAAACTTAGAGACACCTCTGCTGGGGAAGTTAATAAGTTTTCGCCCTACAGCATTTGTTTAACTTTGGGCTACTCTTTCCTCATGCCATGTGCTTCGAGCGGCCATATTGGTTTTACTCTTAAGCGGAAAAAACACTTCGCTTCTTGCAAAATCATTCACTACCGCAACTCATCTACTTCATTCCAACTGAATTATTTATTATTGTGTGGAGACGTTCATCCAAATCCTGGTTACGAAAATGCAGTGACAAGCGATATAAATTCTCGTGTTAGAAGAAAGCCGCCTACGTGGAAATATCTGCGTTAGCCTGCGCAACAGGCGCTTGATAGGCGAATAGACGAACCGCCTCTTGAAAATATTTTTGCCTGGATTTTGGATTCAAAGCAAGATTTTAACGGATTTTCTTTACTTGCTCATCGCTTCAGAAGGAATTATTATTAATCACAGGGGACTGAGATTAGATCAAAGAGAGGGCAAAATACTTCGAGATCTACAAAAAGTACAAGGGCTGGAATGCTTATAGTTACCATGCCAACCAGGGTAACAGATACGACTGAGTCCTTGCTGGATGTCATATTAACTATAACAAACCACAATACTATAAGGCGTGTGGCGTTTATGATCAAGAAGTAAGCGATCGCGCAATGGTATACGGGCTAGTGACTGAGAAGGTGAAACATCATCAGAGTAAATTGCAGAAATTGGTTTCATTTAGGGACATTACGAACTTAAAGGGACTGGTTCACGATAATGCGCATGCGCGCCGTTTGTCTCTTCAGAATAAATTTGTTGGGTCAACACTAAATTCGAAATCGCCATTACCGGTACAATCATTGAAAATCCTTCGTTTTATTCGGACATCCGTCGCTTTGGCTGGTCTAGTTATACTTCGGTAGTGGTGATTAACGTGTGGTTGTGTCGTTTGACTGGTTACGTTTTAAGAAGACGCAAAAAATAATGTTTTGATCATGGAGGTTGAGAAGAGCATCGAGGCGGTCCGGCAACAGGACGTTCTCAAGAGTCTCTGGAGATAGAGAAGCTTAGCCTATCGATCTGGTATGGTTCTAGGAGTACTGTGTGGCATACGAAAAGAATACACGACACTTGGAAAGTGGTTAAAGGCATGAGTTCGTTCAACTTTGATTTGATTTTTGACTCCGACCTGTAGTTATACCGCAACAGGCCGCGCGATCTTCACCGATCTGGTACACTTGAAATGTTCCTTGTATCTTTGCTTTACGATCGTATATGATTAAGAATTGATGTTTTTAAAATAAATTATTGCGTGAATATTCTGTTCATAATCTAGTTTCTTTATGTGTGCTACTCGATAACATTTGTTTTGCGGAACACTGACCCGATGCAACGCGAATGAATTTGTTCATTTGCTGATAAGCAATTGAAATTTATGCTCAATTAAGGATAATCTTTATACTCATACGTTGTGTGTTTTTGTCACCGGTCCGGTGCTATTTGTAGGTATTTCTGGGTTTATATAAGGCGAACTGAGAGAACAGTAATACGATGTTTGTTTACAAATTTTGTTTGCCGATCGGTGACTGTTTTGTTAGCGTGGCTACGACCTCGTAAAAATACACGTTGGTAAATGTTTGTTTCAAAGCAGGACAGGGCTGTAAATCTTATTCTTATCGGCTGCAACATATATCTGAGGAGTAGCAAAGAATAAAATTTGAATTATGGGGATAAATAAAATCAAACCAAATGCCCGGAAATACTCTCGCGTCGCGGACAATTAATTTGAATTTTGTAAATTTACTTGCGTGCATCTAACTCGCTTCCGATTGGTTGAAAAACAATCAGCTACTGTCAGAACTCACACATGCGCATTATCGTGAACCAGTCCCTTTAATTGGACGAAAGCTACCAGAGCAAAGTTTCGTTTTTCGAAACGATTTAGCCAAATTAGGACACCGGAGAACTTTGAACTAAAACGGCACTGGAGGAATGAGACAATGAAACAAAGGCGAATAACGATTAGAAAATTTTGGGGTGAACTAGCGGATGATTTGCGTCAAAACCCGATGAAATTTTACAAAACCTTCAAACCTTTCCGTGACAGGAAGGACAAGGGAGATGGCGATATACCCCTGAACATGGAACATGGAACATGGAACACCAGTGGAAATGGAGGGGAAAACGTGGAGTCTCTTGACGAGAGTGAATTTATAGAGCACAGTAGCTTAAAACCAGACTGTTTTAAATGGCATATACAGCCAAAAAAATCGTTGAAATTATTTTTCGTTACCTTCACAGCTTCCTGGGTGATAGACCAGATTATTCTCAAGTCCTCTGCAATAGCTTAACTTATGCCAGCATCGGTTGTCGTAAGTTGTTCCGTTCGCAGTGCACACTGGGTCTTCATATGAGGGGCATTGGTCCTAGCACTCACACCGAGCGTCATGCGCACTGTAGGTCTTACAGACTCCAAATCGAGGGCAATGCACATTAAGGCAAGGATTAAGATCTGTACCAAGAAACAAGCCATTATATTATTGAGTTATACTCACCATTCAAAAAAAAAAACAATTATCTGTGATTACAACATGTTTGCATACCGGCCAGGCTCTGTTACTGTTGTGAACCACAAGGTTTTTTTATGATGATGTCATTAAATGGTTTGCTATGCGAATTTAGATAATACACCCAAATTTATTAAAATGAAAAAAACAACCTCCAGTAACAGCGTAGCTGACTATTAAGGGATCATGACTCGATCCTAGTCCACTGAGGTCTTTAACGCATATCTTCATAGATTCTAATCCAACTTCCTACAACAAAAAGTGATAGCACTCAGAAAATGAACATGGTCTGATTTTCACCGAACGTCAATTTGGATATGTGACCTTCCGATTTAATATAAATTCCCGCTAATTTCAACAATAACTTTGATCAGACTCAAACTATTCTTTGTCAGCAATTTTAAAGTCCTTTAATCAATTTAGAAGACTGACCGAAGTACTTCTATCCCCTGACTAAACAAGAGAGATGTTATTTGGATCTGAAGGTGTGGTCACTCTTCAAGCAAACTATTGCATAAATGATTCAGCAAAGCACTGAAAAAATCCATAATCCTGATCATAAACCACACGTAATAGCAATGCAAACCTACCTCTACCCATGCCGATATGATATTGTTTCCTGGAAGACGACTTCCCTTGATCTGCCGATCATATTGATGATTTACGGAAAGAATCACAACTGGCGATTCATAGAAGGTTGTATTGAAAGGTACTTCCTGTAAATACGTAAGAAAAATCAAGAACGTTTTAAGGAGATGAATTAGTATGTAGCTCTTTTCCCATTATTTAGGGCCATCCTCTATAAACCTTTCACTTCTCAAAATAATCTCTCAGTCTAAGATAAGATGCAGGACTAGCTATTTTCAATGAAGATAAAGCAGATACGTTTCAAGACAACCCATACTATTCTTTGCTGAAGAAACTCGAGTAACTCTATACAAAAAGCAGGTGGCACAGCAACGTATAAGTGTACGTACAGCAGGGGCACCCAACGACAATTTTCGGAAGAATATCTGTTCGGAGGACGATTTGAGATCTAGAATTTTCGAAACATTTGTTATAAAATTTCTTGCTTGCCTGCCTCTCCTAGGATTTTCCAACATCTAAAAAATGGTATAATTGCCTATTTTTAACGGATTTTTACCCTAAAAAGGTCACCTACAATTTTCGGGAGCCTTTTTTCTGGCTGAAATTTTCGAAACGGCAAGTTTTGATCCCTATAACTTTCGGATCACTAGACTTTCAGCTAGGAGATCCGAACAGATGAAAAATTTTTAGGGGATAAAAGTATACCTATATCTACCGTTTAAATACTAAAATACGTTTAACAATGCTATGTTTAAGTGGTTTTGAACTATATTCTCGTTGGGTGCCCCTGGTACAGCTTGTTGCGTCCTCACGAAAACCGACAGCCACAAAAAAACAACGAGCTGATAAACTATTCGTTAATTTGTGTAACGACCTCAAATCGGCGCGTAGTAGGACAACAGCACTTATCACTTAGCACTTACGTTATTATTTTTTTCAAGCGACCGCTATAAGGTTGGATCGGCGGGCATAGTACAAAGTCTTAACTTTTACAGATATAGTTCAGTGATTATTGTCAATGACACGAAACGAGTTGCCAAGATTTAGCTGGTAATGGTCACTAAAGTGAGAGCAAGGGTGGCGCCCGCACTCGCCTTCCACCAATGAAGCCCGGGATCAAACGCGGCGTCGACGCCATAAGTGGCTTGAAATTTTGTTGGTTCTGTCCTTTGCTCCAGAGGTTTTTCTCTGGGTGCTCTTGTTTTCCCCTCTCCTCAAAAACCATCATTTCTAAATTCTCATGCGGTTAAATTTAGAAATGCCAGTTGTTCTGAATTTGCGCAAATCTATAACTTTTTAATTGAATGTTTAGACAAGTGACAGTTTCGCTGTGTTTCGATAATTCATCACTATTAATATAAGTCAAGAAACACGCAAAATAAGTACGAACGGTAGGGTGGAAAAAGCCAAGGAGTTGAAAAGTATTTTTAAAATTCGTTACTTTGGCAATCAGCTGTCCACTAAATAAATGTGCAGTTGTTGTTGAAACTGTTACTTTTACTGAGATTAATTGAAAGTTTTAATCTTACAAATAACTGTGTTAAATGTTGAAATAATTAAAAGTAGTTTTCACCTGACAAAAGCCATAGTTGTTTTGGGCTGATGGATTTCCACTGTTTGCAAAATACTCTTTTCCTGTAATTGTAAAGTTGAGTTGACTTCCATTGCCAGTGAATGCGAACCAGTCCTGGGACAAAAACATGTAAAAAGGTAAAAACGAAGAAAAGAACAGATTAAACTTGCCATCTTTTAGACAGGAATGGTCATGGCAGACTACGATCACATTTTCTGAAAGTCGGCAGGATTTTTCAGTGCCATCATTACATATTCTACTTGCAACCTCATTTCTCTGTACTCTGCAAAACTTGAACAGGCTGCCCCTTAAAAACACCAAATAAAGATTGATCAGTTAATTTTTCCTGAATTTCTATCTTTAAAAAACCTCCTATCAAAAGATGTCGATAATGCTAGCGCTCTAGTAGGTTTGCTCAAACTTCGCGAACATTAAGACAGCTATTAGAAGTTCCAGTGAACGATTCTCAGTGTTGAACACATCATTACGTTGTCATAACAACTCAGATGTCAACGTCACACTAATCAAAACAGATTTTCATCTTTACCTAACAACAACGACGCAGTAAATACTCAAACAAGGACTGTATTACCCCTGAAAAATCCAGTCGAGCCACCTTTACTTACCCGTTATTCGTAACTTATGACATCGACACAAAACACTGACGTCGCGACGTGAGAGACAACAAAAATATTTCACCCTGAATAACGCAGCACGTGAATTAACAAGACACAAATCGTATTTGCAAACCTCATGCAATACGTCATGCACCAGTTCGTGATCCGAGATGATAGTACTGTATAGTCCGTGATCTTTAACTTTATTGTTTAATTACTCGAGCATAATACTTCTCTTACCACAACTGCATCTTAGAGTTTTCCATCAAAGGGCAAGAATTCCCTTAGGCACACTTCAAATCCTCCAGAATTGACGTTTTCTAACCATACGTACATAGCGTCATTTGCCTTTGTACTGCGAGTGTACTTAACAGAGACAAATACATTAGGTTCGGAAGCAAAGTTCTGCAAAAAAGGATATATATAGGCAACTGAAAAACTATTAACCGAAAAAAATAAGTAACATTTCCTAGAAATCAAATAAAAGTCAATGTTGTTCTCATGTAAGCTGCACTTAAATGAAAAGAAAAAGGAAACATTGATCAATCCCATTACCGTAAAATTCCGAAAATTCGCCCCGGAAGCTTATATTTTTCAAAGGTCCTTTTTGAGGGGTTTATTTTTGGAGGGGCCTATATTCGGAGGGAAATAAGCGTTTCAAATCGATTGAGCTTCCCTTATAGATGGAAGTAAATTTACTGTTTTCCCTTTGTTTCACTCTGTATTTGAGGGCAATTTGAGGACGGTTTTTTGCGTTACTGGTTTGGGGGGCTTATATTTGGAGGGGCTTTAATACATCGAGGGGCTTATTTTCGGAATTTTACGGTAATCTAATTATGTTCGCTCGAGTTTCTTTTTATCCTCTTTTTCTGCGAATAAATGCATTCAAAAAGCAGGGCGAGATCATATTTACCACATTACTAAAAGTTACAAATAAAAACTTTAGTTTTCAGCTAAGCTTTGTTACTTACAATGTGAAAATATTAAAATTTCAAGTAAATGAAGTTAGCTCTATTTAATTTCCTGATTCACTACAGACACATCAATGCATTCAACACGACCAAGCATCTCAATCACACCACCAAAGTAAAAGCCCAAGCATGAAAGCTAAACATAACCAGACTGAGAGAATTAATTTGAATTCCTGACCCCTATTATCCAAAAATAAAAACTCCTGATATTTGATTTGTTCAGTACAAGAGAGGATATCCTCTCTTGTTTAGTATCATCTGCTTAATAAAGTGCTATTTTATTTTTTTTTTTTGGTCTTACTAAATTATAGAATTATTGTCAGTCGATTATCTAACCTGAGAAAAGGCCACCTTCTCACATTTGGTTTCTGTTGTCCATATACCGCTAAAAGTAACGCTTCCATGCGTTAACATGGGTTTGTCCTGAAACGCTACCCAGTTGATAATTCCAGTGTCATTTGTAGAACCTGTTGCACGCGAACATAACTGAAATCCAGCTGTACTAACGGACTCTGCCCAGACGGCAGAAGGTGAATGAACAACTGATGACTGATCTTCGTGGCTTAATGATACAAATACTCGAACCTGAAATGCGTCAGGTAGAAATATGCATTAATGAGAAATCAAGGCAAGACAAGACAATATTTATTTGGGTCTTATACCACCTGATACATCGACTGTTTACCAAACAATTTAAAATTACAACCTTCTATGTTATAACATCATATATAACAATTAGTTGTTACAAATAGCGATAGTTAGTAAGCAAAACTGCCACCCTTATATTAATTGACGACTCCACCCCTCCCCATCCCCCAGTCCTGATCCTATTCCAAGGATTAGATATTTTCCAAACTAAATTTATCGTCAGAATCCTCTGACTTTTTTGTATTGTTCAAAAATACACGACGCATTTTAGGGAGTAAAGAGCACTTGAATATACCTATGTGTACTAAATTCGCTGAGGTCATAACATCATAAAAGCCACAATGTTGGCAAATCAAAAGTTGTTAAGAAGATAGTTTCTAAAGAAGCTTATTGCTGTCTGCTTCTATTAGAAAGTTTTCGCGAACCCATTAGAGGAAGCCACTTTATAATTTCTTTAGGAGGGTTTACTTACGGTTCCAGATCCACTAAACGTTTGCGGAAATACCACGTTAGTGCAGCGTGGCAAGGTACAATGTTGTGGCGCCTCACATCCACTGTTGCAATTCCATCCTTGACGCGTCTCTGATGCATTTAGTTTGCCAACTTGATACGAAGTGCCTACAACAATATCAATAAAATAATGTTACACTGTATTATTATTATTTTTTTTCACTGTATTTAAGTATAAAATGGGCCAAAACATAACAGAGCTCGATGGTGCGAGGGTGTGATGTGCAAGAGGGCGTGAATACAGAGAGACGGGAGAGTGACTATATAAGAATAGCGCTTTCCACTATTACCAAAAATAAGTTTTGTCACCTTAGACCCCCCGCGTGACTCAGACAAACTTCGCATTCTACTGCAAGGCTTTGTATCGGAAACATGCGTTTCCGACATGAAAATTGTTCATGATATTGGCAGTGAGCGTTTTTCAAATGTTTTTAGAGCTTAATTCCAATATATAAAAGGCACTACTGCTATAGGGAGCAAAACCTGGTCTAGTGACTCAAATAAATGGTTAAAAGGAAATTTGTTTCTGCAAGAAATAACTGGTTTTATGCTTAATGTGACTGATCAATGTGTCATTTCTCCAGCTACTGGGGAGGAGGCGTTCCTGTCATCCTGGACATTATATACGTGTTTTTTATGACACGAAAGCGAGGCACAAGGCCTCTCTGCTCACTGCAACAAGAAAGTTGGAAAACAATTTTTTCCCTCCCTTCCCTCCCGTTTTGCTCCACTTTCATCTCCCGGATGGTGGGTGTGCCCTCACCTTTGCTGGGATAAATCTTCTTGTGTATCTGGACTTTCCGAGCTTGATATGCCTAAATGAAATAAACGGCCACTCTTGTGGCCAAATTTATCCCGAACTGGAATTGTCATTATTGGGTATCCCAGCAAACAGAGCTCACCCAAAGCAAGACTCCACCAACAGCAATAACCCACTCAATAATACTATCTAAAGGAACATGGAGCATAAATCAGAAAATAAAGCGACTCGATCAAAGAAGGTTACTGAAATCGGTCCCTAGCTCTGTGTCTTAGGCAGAAAGCACCGCTATGCACTGAAACATGACAACATTATTGGCTGTGTAATAATCCAAAACCGAAATTGCTAAATAGAAAATCGAGTTTGGATGTACTTCTCGCAAGCCTGTGACAGAATATCTAAGGTGAAAAGCACACCAACATTAGCACAAACCGGAAATTGTATAAGTTATTTCTGTTGTTGTGCGGCCAGGTAGACCATATGAATCTGGGACGAATACTTTAGTACTTTATACTGTTTATATCCTGTAGTACTAGGTAGCGTAACATAAGCACTCGAAAAAAAAATTGAGCTACCCTTGCCTATATAAATTTAACCAAGTGCACCCTTTCATGCACAGCTATGAAGCCCTGCTCTCCACACATTTAAAAATTATTTTACCCACAGTATTATGACGCCACGTAAGAATTAAAACCCCTCATCTGTACAGTTTTTTCCATGTTTAACGCTGTCTTGGTAGGCGTTGATTATTTTCAGGATATTTATTACCGGATTTTGTTTCCTTTAACGATAAACATCTTAATTGACGACAAAAATTAGTTGCCGAACGTGACTTTCCCAAACTAAACTCTTGTACCGGTCAGGTTTAATGTCTGAGTCACACCAGGGACCAGAAATTTGTGACGTCATTAGTAGAAAGCGCTATTGAAAGAGCACAAATTCGAGAAAATATTACGTGCTGTTCGTGCGGGTCTCTCAGAGGCACCGTCAACAGCGTCGGAAATTTCAAATTCTCCCATAACTCACTGTTACCTAGTAAATCCTTGTTTAAGTTTCTCCCGTTTTTTCCGCTTATTATATAAAGTGCTTGAATTCAGCGGCTAGCCTTATCTGATCTTAGGCCATGTCAAGATATTAGAATACTTAATATAAATAACTTGCCCTCTTCTTTCTTATCAGCCGAATACCGTTCTGTTATCGCTTCAAATGGAAACGTGTGTGTGTTTTTTGTTTTTTGTTTTTTGTTTTTTTTGCTTAAAGCCTCAGCGCAGTTATAACGGCTATTAAAGCTGCGATTTAAATAGATTTCCACGAAATAAAATTGATCCTCCTTTAACGTCGTTCTTACTATCGATTTGGGGTTGATATTTTCAATTGCTGGGGCAAAAGAAAAGGCCTCCTGTTGAAAGCGTTTTATTGTTTGTTTGTTTGTTTTTTCTCGCCAACCTTTAATTCTCATTTCTGGGAAGTTTTGAACTAGACCAGACTGTAACTAAAACACATCGTCGTTCCAAAATTAAATAAAGCGGGCTAATGAAAAAATAAAAAGTAAACTCGGTTTAACAAACTGGCGCCAGTTTTTTTATGTGTCTGTCTTCTCAGTTGATGTCAAATTGACGTTATTAAACTTTGTCAAAGCATCATTACGTCTTGCATAAGAGAGCAATTTGGATATTTTTCTTAGAAGATAGAAGGTGAATCTCCGACGAAACTAATTCGACTAAAGAAAAAAAATGCATCGAAGTTTGGCATTCGTTCAGCAAATGACCGCGTCTTGCATAAATAAAAATTGTATGTGTCTGTCCTCTTATTGACCATAAAAATTAGCCAATCAGCCTGACAGAAATAATTTAGTGTAAAAATTATGAAGTTCAATCCAGTTGTCATTGCTTTTTTCTTTTCCTTTTGACCCAGTGTGACAATGACATGAGTAATAAATTTGTGAGGATTAAACTGACAGAGCTGTTATTACGACTCAAAAACTTTGCAATGATGTTTACCAAATTTTAAATCTATTTTTGCAACGGACACTTTTGAGTTGGAGGTATCTTTGACTTAGGTGGTTTTCTGGACTTTCCTGCCAACCGGAACCCATTAGATCCGGCTGCAGATTCTCATCTCGTAAAGGGGTAAGTTGCTGAACGCCTTCTTATCTTAGCTAGTCGCGAAATAACTAAAAAATAAGACAATGAAAAAGAGAAAAAAAGAACATTTAAATGGAAAAGACGGACCATCTACGTTTCCCCGAGTTTGCGAAACAAGCTCACTGACTCTGGTAAAATAGAGAACACCTGAGTTCTCGCTAGCCTCGGTACACTTAATCACTAACAATATTTCTTTACAAAATATTACAAATTTAAAATGTTTGAATACATGTTTTATAGTTTTCACTAACAGAGCATACTTTTAAACAAAATATAAGTCAGGATATCCACCCATGACAAAAAAATTAAGACAAAGAGCTAAAATTGGACACAATGTCGTTGACTTCCATGGGGCTCAATTATATGTTAGAAACCTTGCATATTAATTTTTTCGAAGTACAGAAAAAAAAAGCTACAGACGTAGAGTAATATTAGCTTAAAGAAATGTCACATTATTGTACCTGTTACAGTTGGAGCAAAAATCCCCAGATGAAGGAGAAACAAGAAGGTTACAAATTTTGTCAGCCCCATCTGCTGGATACAAGAAATGCAAGGTGATCGAGACACCTGATGAACTTCGGGGCTTCAAAACATTTATTTTATAGTTGAACGTGTGGTAAGCTCATTAGATCTATCGTGTTACTCAATAAACAAACTAAAGGTTTCAAGACCGCGTTTCAGCTAGGTATGCAATATTATCTTGCTAAGTTAAACCCTGAATGGATAATAAAAGAGCAAAGCACTACAAAACAAAGAAGTCAGTTACTATAAGGTCAGAACACAAGAGTGCGGTATTGTGTGATAAGCTGATTTGCTCTTATGCCCAGCTCTGGTAAGTATATTGTTTTTATCTTTGCCTAAAAAGTAAAACAGAGCCCCTTTACATGCGCGTCATCACGAACGTTACCCCCGGGGGTACTCCCTATAATGGCCTATACGGGGAAGCTCCGCCAGAAAGGGACATTTTTTTTTTCAGGCTTCAGGCCTATGTGAAATTGGGTAGGGATTTCACTCATGAGTTGAAGTATATGAAAGGGTAGGAAAATCTGTCATTTCGGTCTACAAAATGAGGGTTTAAAGGGCCTCAGAAGGATGTTGTGGCTAGGGAAAAAGTCGAGAAAATTTTGTGGTTTGTGATTTATCCATGCTTAAAAGACAGTGACTCTACAGCAGTTAAAGGGATTCAAAGTTGAAACTAGGTATGTGAAAGGGGTACCTACTATTTGCCAATGGAAGGTATACTAAAGGGGTATACAACTTTTCTGTCAAAAATGGTGTATGAAATGGTAAGTACTTTACCCCCCTGGCTCTGAACGCAGTAAAATAACTGTAATATATATTTAATATCATCCGTAACATGACCCAAGCTAAATAAATTAAACTGAATGGTGTTTCTGGCCGATAAGCAATGGAATCCGCTCAGATTCGTTTTAATTTTGTACAGGACGAAACCTTATACCACATTCGTAACATCTAAGAAGGGAAAATGGTTGACAAGTTCGTTGTTTCTGCGCATTATCGAATCAGCTTTTTGCATTTAATTAAATGAGGAATAAAAGTCAACTGCTACTTCCTTCAAAATCGTGCCGGTGTGCCTTTAAAATCGTGCGCGTGTGGAATAGCTCGCACAAAGGTGATTGCAGTATTTTTTTCTCTCTCTTATCTTACATTCCCACATTTCGAGTTGCTGTAAAAACGTAATTTCGCCCTCGAATTTCATCGTCGCTATAGTAGTAACGGATCGATCGGAAGTACAGGGAAACTGCTATTAAGCGGACACCTTCGGGACCTTCCCTTGTGTCCGGTTAATAGAGGTTTGTAAAAATTGCGCAATGTTTGTTAACGATTAACATTCAACGGTTACTCTGTGCTGTGATTAAGTTCCATCAGTGTTGTTGAGACAGGGGCGCCCAACGATGGTTTCCTCCTAAATACATATTCCCACCTCACTAGTCCTTTCTGGGGAAATCCTTGTCAGTCAGTCTCTTCATCCGCTTACTAATGTGCCTTACTCAAGTTCAGTGAGTGACAAAATCTTTTTCTATAAATCTCAGGGAACAACATGTCTTTCCAGTTTCTCGAGATAATTCACGCAGTTCAGAATCTTATTAAAATTTTATTTTACTTTAATTCCTTCCACTCAGAGGCTAGGGCAGACATGACAGAAATGATTTTCTGGAGATTACACTGACAGACATACTTCAAGCAAATCGAGAACTT